GAATATTCAGAGTCAGGTGCCATTTTTCCGGGTGAATAGTTTAGTTCATCGGTGGTACCCGTCATTTTCTAGATGAATTTTTTCTGGAAAGTATGACATAAATATTCAAAAATATAACACATTAACCTTTTTTTTCAAGACTTTATTCCAACGTTCCCCTGGGTCGTAGAATTTTTTATCGCATTAAAACTACCTTAACATTTCCGGAAAATTAGTAATTGAATTTTTCATTCAATGGTTTTTCACAATTTTTTTTCTGTACACTGTGTAAAAAAATAATTTGAAAATGGCGCGCAGCCGCAAAATCCCAAAAATTTCTAAAAAAAAATCTTAAACTCCAAACAAGCGCATATTATACGTTAATCGTTTTGAGTGCGCTCTTGTTTTCGGTGTAACCCGAGGCTAAGCGGTTTAAGAGATCAACCCGCGGATCCTCTCGGGCCCTCAGTGAGAAAATCATAAAGTGTCCGTATATCAAGTAAAAGAAACTTGCGAGAGGGGAGAAGGGAATGAAAGGATTATTCAAGAATAAAAATAAACAACTCGATTGGACGAGGGTATGAGGCCAGGCACAAGGAGAAGACAGCATGAAAAATTAGATTTACAAATCTGTCCTGACTACTATGAGATTGGACCGCTTATGGGCCCAAAGGGTCCAAGGGCCCAGAGGCTCTCATGTCCCACGTGCCCAGCAATCACATTCGCATTTATTCAGACAATTTATAAAACATTAATCATGCGAGTTTTCGCCTTTTTTCTTTATCTCTTTCTCTTGTTTCTTAATTTTTTTTTTTCGCTCCTTTGGGAACTGGAGGGGCTAATGACTTGGCTCAAATTTCGAGTGGGTGGTTGGTCGCGGGGGTGGAGGGGAAAGGGGGAGGGGAAATTGAGACGGTGGGTGCAACATCCAGGGCGGTTCTCCGTGGAAGGATAAGTTTCAAGAGTCCTGCGCCTCTCTGGCGCCTGATCCTCTGATAAATGACGAAAGATTCACTGAAAAATAAATTTTTGCA